GATCCTCCCACCTCGGCCTCTTAAAGTGCTGGGATTACAAACAAGAGCCACCGCGCTGGCCAGGAAGCAAAATAATTGATGGCACTTCTGAGGACTCCAGGAAGGAGGGCAGTCCTGCTGCTCATTGCACAGCCTCTATCCCCTTCTCCAGCCCCTATATCTTCCTCCCCTCTGGCTCTCAGGGGCAAAGCTGTTTCTCCCGGTTTGCTTGAAACAACTTCAGTCCTTCCTCTGAAGTCTCAGCCCCATGTCCTGGCGGAGTGTCCTTCCTTAACCAGGGTTACCAATTCATTTTCTTAACAAAGGTTATTTCCTCCATGATAGGAATTCCTGCTTTAGCTGCTAAGGTATTAATACAGTTTTCCATTTTATTATGATGTTTGTTCCAGAACCTGTACCAGAAGCTGGCAGTTGTCACAGCAGCGCTGTAAGGTATCAGCTCCATTTTGCCGAAGAGGAAACTGGGCTCAGAAAGGTTAAGGCTATTGCTCATAAATACCAGGCTCTGGAGAGGTTTGAGGTCCCTTTCTGCATTTGCCCATTCCTTCTTCAAAGTCTCCTTGGCGGGAATCACAGACACCTGAATGGAGGCCAGGCTCTCCAGGGAAACCACGTCATGCAAAATGAGGTCTCAGGCTTTGAACTATTGCTTCTTTAGTCAGATGACCCCAATCTTTCACATATTCACACCAGCCTCAGGCTTGTGTAGATCAGAGGTTTCTTCTTTTTAAAGTATAGCCTCCAGTTCTAGTGCCAGATCTGCTGGTGATTTGTAGCGTGACCTTCGCTAAATCGCTTTCCATCTCTGGGCTTTAATTCCCTTATCTTCACAATGACAGAAAGCTCCTTACTATCTTATGTTCTGTGGTCCTAGAGAAAAGTCAGATACTGGAACAATAAGGCCTATTGAGCACTTATCTGCTAAGCACTCTGTCACATTGCCTTTTCATCCTTTCAACACTGGGGGGTAGGTATCATAATTGGTCTATTTTACAGATGAGTAAACTAAGGCTTAGGAGGATTAGTAGTTACCCAAGACCTCACAGTGAGTGAGAGAGTTGGGACTCAAACACAGATGGTCTGTCAGAGTTTGAGTTTGGAGATAATACTTTTTTTTTTTTTTAAATACAAGATATGGGGTCTTGCTACATCACCCAGGCTGGAGTGCAGTGGCTATTCACAGGCACAGTCATGGCACATGACAGCCTCGAACTCCTGGGCTCAAGTGATCCTCCTGCCTCAGCCTCCTGAGTTAAGGGGACTATAGGTATGCACCCCCGCACCCTGCTTGGAGACAGTGCTTTTAAACCATTGCATCAGCTGTGTCCCCAAGTGCCAGCTCAGGCTGCTGATGACTCTCAATAGTTACTCTTACATGTGCAAACGCATGTATGCTCTCATGGGAAGAAAATATGTGTTCACACGACCCATCCAAGAAGGCCTAATAATATTTCAAACAGGCCTGCTGAAACCAGCCTCAGGACATCTGGTCATCTGCTTCAAGGCCTCACGGTGTCTAAGACAGCTGTGTAGAAAGAGGACACGCGAGCCATCCTCTGTGACTCCCAGTAAAATGCTCTTTGTACTACCCGGAGTTGTTCCCTCATTTTCTTCCCTTCCTGTTCCAGTTGATTCCCCCATGTACTGAGCCACCTGTATTCTACAAGGCAAACGGTCAGTCATCTAAGTTGTTTGAGAATAGGTTTATTCGCTTTAGGATGACCACGGCTGGAAAACTCTGTATATCAGAATGACCGAAGTCCTTTCTGTGTGTGTGTAAGGTCAGCCATCTATCTGCCTACCTTGAAAAGACGAGAAATATCCTTCTTGAAAGCAACTGAATGCACGTGAGAAAAGCTCTTCCAGTTCTGAACCTTCAGGAGTTTCTGGCAAGCTTTTTATTACGTGCTAGGGTGGGGATCTGACTCTGTGTATATAGATTCTCAATTAGTCAGGTTTTCAGACTGACACCTCAATCCTCCTGAATTTAAAAACAAAACAAAACACAGGACAACGACATTCTGTTCCAGCTTGCCAGAACCCCAGCCCTGAGCTTCCTGTTTTCAACCTTGTCCTGTTTTTTAGGCCTTTGAACTCTGACTCCCTGGCTTTGACCCTGGTGCTGGATAAGGACTTTGAAACTTCTTGCCTCATCTGATGCTGTTCTGACTTCTGTCAGCCTGGGCCCTGCCGCCCCCACTCCCACCCCCATGTCTGCTTTGGCCTCTGCAGGCAAAGGTCTGGGCCTGACTACATTGTATGTTAGCGATTCTGTCATCCCCAGGCTGGGAGCTCCTGGAGGAAGGAGTTTGATCATATTTAGCTGTAACTCCTGATAGCAAGGAGGGTGGAGAGAAATTCCTGGATCAAGGAGCAGGGACTCACAGTCCAGGGAGGGTCCAAAGCAAGTGGCACTGGCCCCTGCGGAGGAGCAAGAGCAGCAAGCACATGGGGCTCCTCTGAGTCACTGCCCGGGTGATTGATGAGTTGCTGTCCAAGTTCAGGTGCTTTTGGCACAAGTAACAGAAACCAAGATCTGCAAACTCTGACTAGCAAGAAAAGGGAGATACCCACACGTCCACCAGCAGATAGCTGGATAAACAAAATGTGGCAGATACCTACAATGGAATGTTAGCCTAATGACTAACAGGAATGACGTTCTGAAGCATGCCGCAACTTGGATGAACCTTGATGACACTACGCTGGTGAAATAAGTCCGTCACAAAAGGACAAATGCTACGTGATTCCACTCACATGTAATACCTAGAGCTGTCAAATTCATAGCGTCAGAAAGAATAGTGGTTACCAGAGGCTGGTGGGGGAGAGAATGGTGAGTTAGCATTTAATGGGTACAGAGTCTTAGGCTGGGACCATGAAAAAAGTCTGGAGATGGATAGTGGTGATGTTCACCTAACAAAGTGAATGTACTGGATTGTACACTTAAAAATGTTTAAAATGGTAAATTTTGTGTGTGTGTGTGTGTGTGTATGTTTTTTTTTTAGGCAGACTAGCTCTGTCATCCAGCCTAGAGTGCAGTGGTGATATTATGGCCCACTGCAGTGCAGCCTCAACCTCCTGGGCTCAAGCAATCCTCCCACCTCAGGCTCCTGAATACCTGTGACCACAGGCACACACCACCATGCCCGGCTAATTAATTTTTTGTAGAGATAAAACATACATAAGCTCTCACCATACTGCCCAGGCTGATCTCAAACTCCTGGACTCAAATGATCCTCCTGCTTCAGCCTCCCAAAGTGCTGGGTTTACAGGCATGAGCCACTGTGCGTGACCCTGTTATGTGTGTATACGTACACGTGCGTGCACACACATACACACACACACGTTTTTTGAGACAGGGTCTCACTCTGTCACCCAGGCTGGAGTGCAGTGGCACGATCTCAGCTGACTCCCCAGCTCAAGCGATCCTCCTGCCTCAGCCTCCTGAGCAGCTGGGACCTTAGGCTCAGGCCACCATGCCCAGCTTTTTTTTTTTTTTTTATATTTTTGGTAGAAACGGGGTTTCGCCGTGTTGCCCAAGCTGGTCTGGAACTCCTGGCCTCAAGTGATCCGCCCACCTCAGACTCTGGAAGTGTTGGGATTACAGGCGTTAGCCACCTTGCCCAGCCCCTGTTATGTCTATTTTAATACACATACATCCCCCATCCCCCACCAAGAACTGACCTAAACCAATAAGTTATTCCTGAGGTGCTAAATTGCCAACATGGCCCTTTAGGAATTTTTTTTTTTTTTTTTAATTGAGATGGAGTCTCACTCTGTTGCCTAGGCTGGAGTGTAGTGGCGTGATCTCAGCTTACTGCAACCTCTGCCTCCTGGGTTCAAGCGATTCTCGTGCCTCAGCCATCTGAGTGGTTGGGATTACAGGCGTGCACCACCATGCTAAGTTTTGTATTTTTAGTAGAGACGGGCCATGTTGTCCTGGCTGGTCTCAGACTCCTGGCCTCAAGTGATCCGCCTGCCTTGGCCTCCCAAAGGGCTGGGATTGCAAGCATGAGCCACTGCGCCTGGCCTAGACATTTTTTTTAAAGGAAGGATACTGGGACATCTCATGGAACTGAAAGACCAGCTGAAGCCCCCAGCCTGGAGCTGGGGCAGAAAGTGAGGCAGTTCCAGGGACCTCGGGACAGCAGTTCGTAGACCTCTTTCCTTGGGACACTGCCAGAAACTCACTTCTGCTCTAGCAGCAACCAGACTGAGTTTCTCAGGTCCAAATTTCAAATCTCTCCAAGAGTCTGATTGGCCAGCTACATGAGATGGCCAACCTGGGTAGATGAGCTTGGGCTGAAGAGGCGGCTGTTTTTTTTTTTTTTTTTTTTTTTTTCCGAGATGGCCTCTCCCTCTGTCACCCAGGCTGGAGTGCAGTGGCTCCATCTCGGCTGACTGCAAGCTCCGCCTCCCGGGTTCATCCCGGGTTCACGCCATTCTCCTGCCTCAGCCTCCAGAGTAGCTGGGACTACAGGCGCCCGCCACCACGCCCGACTAATTTTTTTGTATTTTTAGTACAGACTGGGTTTCAACGTGTTAGCCAGGATGGTCTCGATCTCCTGACCTCGTAATCCGCCCGCCTCAGCCTCCCAAAGTGTTGGGATTACAGGCGTGAGCCACTGCGCCCGGCCAAGGGAGGCCGCTCGGGTTTTAACAACATGGCCACTTGGGGGCAGCCATGAGTCAGTTTACCAGAATCCAAGTCGTTGGCCCGTTTTCAGCTTGATACTTCACTGTATTTATTTGTTTTGCTTAACCATCCGGTCTTAATTACCTGGCTTTTGTTTTGTCTTCACAACAGCATTTTGGAAGAATGTTGAATGCAAAGGAGCTGAGTCAGCTGTCTGCTGTTGAGCTGGAGACAGAGGGGGAGATTGATTATAAATGGCCCCCAACCTTGACAAAAGTCTCAAGAAATGTGGAGAAGCCCCTGAAAAAAACTGAGATTAAGCTTCTCTCACCCTAGCAGAAAAAAAGCAGAAAGTTAGGAATCAAGCTGCCAAATAAGGAAGTTGTATTTATTGCATGCTTGGGTTTTGGACTAAGAGTTTACCCCTAGGCGAGTCTCATACCCTTTCTTTCCCTGTCCTGCAAAGCGTAACATGGGAGGTAGAGATTTGTGTCTCTTCTTCTTCTTCTCGCTCACTCTTTTTTTTTTTTTTTTTCTTTCCCAGTCAGGCACTCTCTGTACCCATGCCACCCTGAGGAAGACAAAATATGAGAGGGTCTAGCAAAGCCTCTGCAAAAATGATTAATGTGAATATTCTCATCCTGACTTCCTATGAAAAGTTGTATTATAAAATAAAAGAATAATTGAAGAAAATACAGATCCATAAAAATCCATAAAGATGGGCAGGAAAAATGAAGAGTTCTATGGGGCTCTTAATAGGTCAAGACCCAGAGGGCAGAGATCATCTGGCAGGCTGGAAACTGGCTAGGTATCTAGAATGGCTTGTGTACTGGGGTGAAGTGCGAAATTGAAGCAGAGCAGCAGAAGGATGTGAAAGATATTTTTCTATGTATTAAGAGTGCACTGGCTGAATGTGGTGGCTCACGCCTGTAATCCCAGCATTTTTGGGAGGCTGAGGCAGGTGGATTGCTTGGGCACAGGAGTTTGAGACCAGCCGGGGCAACATGGTAGAATCCCGTCTCTACCAAAAATACAAAAATTAGCCAGGTGTGATGGTGCCAGCCTGTAGTCCCAGTTACTTGGGAGGCTGGGGTGGGAGGATCACTTGAGCTTGGGAGGTGGAGGTTACAGTGAGTCAAGATCAAGTGAGCCAAGATCACACCACTGCACTGCAGCCTAGGTGACAGAGTAAGACCCTATCTCAAAAAAAAAAAAAAAAAGTAAAAATAAAAGAGTGTATCTCTGCCCACATCCCTTAACTTTGGTATTTCCTCCTGAGATTGAGAAAATATTCGAAATACTCCTTTATTTTGATCATTGTTCTGTTTCTCTCAATGTGACTGGATAGTTTCAGCCTAATAAGGCTTCTCCTGTTTTTGTGGGTTTACCTCTCTCTTCCGTAAACAAGGGCTTCCACTAAAGCCTGGTCATCACTGGGAGTTGAGGAGCTGGGCTTAGTCATTCTTTGCTGTAATAATTTTAACCGTGGCCAAGTTCCTGGAGGGCAGCAAAGGTAGGTTGGGATTCTTGATGTACTCTTGGACCCAGTCGTCACTGGGGTTGGTGCAGACTTCTCGGTTCCTTTTGGTGATGAAGCTGCAGAGGCAGAATTAGACCGTCATGGGCTGCAGACTCAGGCAGGGGTCCAGTGCACAACCCCACCTCTGGTTCACATGGAGCTCACCTTAGGTTCTTTAAAGCTTCCCTGGGCCTCTCCTGGCTGGGTTCCCTCAGACAGCCTCTCTCTCTGGCCTCAGAACCTTACCATCCCTTCTCTCAGTCCCTTCTCTGCTCAGCCTAGACCCTCAAGTTTGGGTTTCCTAATGGACCACATAGCTAAAAGTGGCAAAATTAGGAATTAATCCCAGGCCCGTGAGAGCCAAAGGCCAAACCCATAGCCACTACTCCACTGCTTCTAGCATAGAGACCTGTTGGTCCCGTGTATCTCATTCCTGCCCCTGGGCTCCCTGTCCCCCTCCACAGAAATATCTACAAGGATGTGCTTACATGATTGCTGGCAGGTTACAGTTGAGGGCCTTTCTGTATCCCACCACCAGTCTCCTTGGCAACACTTTCTCATAAAACTTCAGGCAGCAGGTGGATGGGGTGTTCACCCACTCAGGAACTTCTGAAGGAATCACATTGCAAGCTGAGCCAGGGAAGCAGAGGGGAGACCACCACTGCCCACCTCTGTCTCCTACCATTTGTGTTTCACTGCTCTGATAGCAAAGCCGTCTGTTAGAGGAGACCAATGCTAGCTTGACAGGTAATGGAGAAAGGGTAAACGATGAATCCCTCTGGGGGACATACATTTAGAACCCTCAGCCTCTGAGCTGAGTGTCAACTACAAATGACTTGGTTATTCACACTTGCCAAGGAACCGGGAGGAAGCTGGCTCACTCTTTTGTTTATTGGTGACTTGATCTGGCAAACATGGGTTGAGCTAGTATGCCGGGCTCTGTGGAGGTAAAAACATGAGGAGGATACAGTCACTACCCTTAAGTAACTTACAGAGTAGTCAGGGTTGAAAGGGAAATTGAAAAGTTAAACAAACACTACCATAGAATGTGGTCCAGGATAGAACAGACTTTGGTATAAGGTGCTATGGGAACACAATGAGGGGCCCCTAACCCATTCTCGGTGGTTGAGGACGAAGTCTCAAAGCAAGTGAGGCCTGCATTGATTCGTAAAGGATGAGCAGGATTTAGACACACAGCTGGGTGTTGTGGCTCAGGCCTGTAATCCCAGCACTTTGGGAGGCCGAGGCGAGCGAATCATCTGAGGTCAGAAGTTTGAGACCAGCCTGGCCAACATAGTGAAACCCTGTCTCTACTAACAAAAATTAGCCGGGCATGGTGGCGCATGCCTGTAATCCCAGCTACTCAGGAGGCTGAGGCAGGAGAATCACTTAAACCCGGGAGTCAGAGGTTGTAGTGAGCCAAGATCGCGCCACTGCACTTCAGCCTGGACGAAGGAGTGACTCTATCTCAAAAGGAAAAGAAAGAAATGCAGGAAAGCTTGAAGGTAGGGGAAGCTCAGTGTGTCTTGGGAGTGCTGGACAGTTTGGGTGGCTGACATGTAAGGTAGGAAGGAATGAATGGGCAGAGATGAAACTGGAGAGAGAGGAGGGTCTGTTCACACACCTGCTGAACTACTGAGTAATTTGGACTCTATCTTAGGGCACTGGAGAGGCGGAGGTTACGGGGAAGGGTGAGAGAGTAGAGCCGTTAGAGACAGAAGTTAGAGCTGGAGGAAAAAGTACATGATTTAGGCTTTGGTGTCAGACAGCTTGGGCTGGAATTTTGACTTGACTGGAATTTTGACTTGAATCATGGGCAAATTTCCTAATCTCCCTAGGTTTCAGTTTCCTCATTCATTAAGTGGGGGTAAATGATACTTGTACCCTAGGATCGTGGTTAGAATTCGGTGAGAAAATGATTGGAAAGCCCTTAACTCAGAGTCTGGCACACAGAAAGTCTCAATTAGTGCTTATTATAGTTAAGAGCCAACGGTAGTAATGACCGCTCTTCTTGCCTTGGAAATGGCTCTTTCCTCCCGCCTCTTTGATGCATGCAGGCTACTGGACTTGATTGGTTATTGTTGCTGTGTTTTCTTTGAGCTGTCCTGACTACGCATCAATTGGGGATACTACACAAGAGGTCAGTCCAGAGATCTCTCCCAGCCCCCAGACCTTCAGAGTGCAAATCTTTTTGTAGCTTGACCCCTTTGCCTCTAGAGAGTGGCAAAGCTTGGGACATCTTGAGAGCACCATCTTGCTGATCCATGTTTTGGGTGGGCCATTCTGTCTTTCTTGAAGCCTGAACCCACTGCACTGGCCTGATTGACTCTCCCAAAGAGCATTGTCTCCCCCTCCCACACAGTCCCTCCGTAAGTGATGCTCATATCACTGGTTCTCAAAGCAAAGTTTACAAAGACCAGGGTCATCCTGAGAGTATGTGGGCAGATTACATGGTGCACCTGACCCTTGCTCCTTTGTGTTTATACAGGCAGAGTCAGGCCAGACTACATGCCAGGGTGACCTTAAGAGAGAAAAGAGACCAGGCGTGGTGGCTCACGCCTGTAATCCTAGCACTTTGGGAGGCCGAGGCGGGGGGATCATGAGGTCAGGAGTTTAAGACCAGCCTGACCAACATGGTGAAACCCCGTCTCTGCTGAAAATACAGAAGTTAGCTGGGTGTAGTGGCGTGTGCCTGTAATCCCAGCTACTCAGGAGGCCGAGGCAGGAGAATCACTTGAACCCGGGAGGCGGAGATTGTGGTGAACCAAGATCACGCCACTGCACTCCAGCCTGGGCAACAAGAGCGAAACTCCATCACAAACAAAACAAAACAAAACAAAACAAAACAAGCAAAAAACAAAAACAAAACAAAACAAAAAAACAAGAGAGAAAAGAATGGCTGGGGCAGCCTAGGGCGGGTGGTACACAGCTTTGTCCCCCCCACGCCCGTCACCAGGTCCTCATAAGCGATGACAGAGGGAGGAGATACGGAAGGACAAAACAAACCCCATCCTCCATAGGCCGCAATTCTCCTTCTCCCCACAGCTCAAAAACCTTTCAACCCCTTCCTCTTTTCTGCAGATGTTATTTAGTCATAGACTGGGGGATGGAGAAGGGGACCATAGATTCCCAAACAGCCATTCCTCTGGGACTCATTTTGGTTGTCTGATAGTCCCAGCAACCTGTGCCAGCCACTTTGAGGAAGTGGTGTCTCGGTTCAGACTCCCAATTCCTGGGCTTAGACCGATTGTTTGAACCTTCCTTCCTCTCGTAACTCGTTCTTCCAGGGCACCTACCGCTTTTCTTTCTCATCTGCGTGCTTCCCCCTCCCTTTCATTGCATGCAATTCTTGTTGCATTTTCTGCAGCTTTCTTGGCCTCTCCTGAGTGATCATTCCTGCTCACCACGCTTGCGACTCCTGAGGAAATGGTGACCCAGTTTCCTGGAACTACTTACCCCAGAGAGATCTGGACCAACCCCAGCTCTACTTACAAAGGGGAGAATTGGAGGTCAGGAGCTAGGCATGAAGGTGGGGAGAGCCCACAGGGGCCTATGAGGCCAGAGACCCAACAGCGCCCTTGGCACCACCTCCCTGCCAGCTGCTCCATCCCCTTTTCTCGTTCCTGCCCTACAGAGACAAGTGGACTCACTTGGCTGGCTGCAAGAAGCAGAAGTAATGATAAGGATGAGGATGAGGAGAGACAGGGCAGCCTCGGAGACCTTCATCCTTTCAGCGGGGCTGTACAGCTTCGGGGAGAGCCGAGTGAAGACGTTGTCTGCTGCTGGTGGTCCGCTTGCCAACTACTCAGCTCTCTGGACCTTGACCCCATCAGAGCGGGTAGAGGAGGAGAAACAACAGGCCTCAGTGTTTGCTGAAACAGAGGGCAGCGGAGGATGGGACTTGGTGCAGAGCTGAATTCAGGAGAATTTGAATTCACATGAAGGAATGTGTGTCAGCTACCTTACATGCCCTATCTGATATAATCCTTAAAATAGTGAAGTAGCGATGGATGATGACTTCCCTGGGACTACTGAGGCTTAGAGGCTAAATAAATTGTCCAAGTCCACCTGGGTGGACAGGCAGGATGAAAAACCAGATCTGTTTGATTTCACCATGTTACCTGCCGCCATCTGTATGTTGGGGAAGGGGCAGGCAGGGTTGAACCACCCCAGCTTCCCCCAGGTGATCAGTCTTGGGGAGAATGAGCACAAAGCAGGATTACAGAGCCCAGACTGAGGCAAGGGTAGGGCTTAGTTGCCTCTGAGAAGGATATGCCCCCTCCCAGTCCAAGGCCACATGATTGACCTCACACTTTTTCATGTCACAGCTTATGCTAATACTCCAAAAAAAAAACCCAGTGTGCCTGATCCTTGGGTCCCCATTTGTTGCTGGACCATTTGACTTATTTGTCAGTGTTTTTATTTATCTCTTTGGACCTTGGACTTTGGACCGGTTTTTAGGTGTAGCCAGCCCGCTGATCCCTCCTAGGTGCCCCCGTGGCCAACCATGACCAGCAGGGGACACTCCAACTCTGTGCACGTGACAACCTGCGTCTGTGCTCTAGGGCTCCAGCTTCAGCCCCTCTGGCCTGGGCTCTGGCTGGACCTGCCCCACAGCCTCCTCTCTCTTCAGGTGCCTCTGGACCCTTTTCCACCTTGAAGGCTGTTAGTAAAACAATATAGTATAATCTGGTGTATGTAAGCGAAGGGGAGAGATTAGGTAAAATGTCTTCATGAATCACTCCTATTCCAGACAGCAGTGAAGAAAGACCTTGGAAACAGCACGGAAAAAAGGACTATGGAGTTTGACTGCTATAGAGAGCCCTTTATGAAGTGTTACCTATAACATCAAATGATGATTCTTAGCTTTTACACTTGTCATGAAGCTTAAATAAGATAATGCATACAGACTGCCTAGCAGAGTGCTTGCAGTAGAGAAAGCATTAAGAAAACGGGGTCTGGTATTGTTGTTGAGGAGGAGACAGTCTTTACGCTGCTTTTCTTTCTCACTTTCTGCTTCTCACTACCCGCATTGCAGGCTTGACCTATTTTTTTGTACCAGGTTCCAGTGAAACTTCTGCAGAGTGAGGCTTGATGCCGAGGGTGCCATACCCGGGCTGGACTCCCTGGTGTCCTCAGCGCGTGACCAATGAGTAAATCCAGTAGAAAGGAATGAGGCCAGGGAAGGGCATAAGTGGTCTTTAATTCAAGGCAGGGAAGCTCCCAGAGGGGGGCTGGGGCTGAGAGTTAGGAGTGGGTGGAGGAAGGGGGCCTCGGCATCTTCCCTTTAGGTCTCTGAGCTGTGCCTTCTCCACCCTCTCTGGGTCACTCAGTTCTCCTCCATGTGCTTGATATAGTCCTGGACCCACTTGTCCCTGGGGTTGGTGCAGATGGAATGGCCCCTTTTGGTGATGAAGCTGTGGAGCAAGAGGGAGAAGGATCACAAACCAAGGGGCCCAGTGGCCGGAAGAGAGAGCCCATCCTCCCTGCCTCCTAAATTCCCCACCTGACCTAGACTGCTTCTCCTTTCTTCAAGGGTAGAGGCCGCTTAGGGCCTGTCTCCTCTCTGAGACATGCTCTTCGGTCCCTAGGACCCCTAGACCCATCTAGTCTCTGTGTCCCCCCGAGGAAGTGCCCTCTTGCCTTCTTCTCCCTTTTCTGTCACCTCCCCCGATCCATGGGGTCAGCTTCCCCATGGCTCCTGCAGGCTCCAGCCAGAAAGCACCCGGGTTGCCTGTCAGCTGCGTCTTCCCGTGTAGTCACACCTGCGAGGTACACTGGGGGTCCCCATTCCACTACCACTCCCTGCCTCCCTCGAGGAGGCCCTGCTGGCTTCTTCTCCTCACAGTGTGATGTGTGTGTGCCACCTACACAATTCTGGGCTTGGAACACTGGCTGTTGGTCTCATAATAATCCATAATCCTCTGACGCAGGATCTTGTGGGTAGTGTAGGTGAGGCAGCACTCTGACGGTGGTAAGGTCCCCCTGAGGAGAGAGCATTGGATGCTGATGAGGGGCCCTATGTTAAAGGCCATACCATTGGCTGGTCCTGCAAGCCGAGGGCATGGAGGAGGGAAGGAAGGAGGAAACAGCCCCGCAGAACTTGGAGGGGAGAGTAGGCTTTTCTCATCTTCTCTTCTTCTTCTCTGTAGTACTCCCGGGCTCCTCTTTTCCTCCTCCCTCATCAGCAATCACCCTCCCTCCTTTTCTTCAACCCCTCTTGGAAAGACTGGCGGATGACTTTCAACTCCGGGGTTGAAGAGCAGCACGCTCAGATCTTCTCACAGCATCTCTGGGGGCCGTCTGGCAGAGAAGGCTAGGGACTTGGCCAATGTCATGCAGTCCTCATGCCTTATTTGGGAAAGATGCTCCAAATAGGAGGAATATTTGGAAGAAATCCCAATAGGGATTTGGGGACACGCCATTTGGGAATGCAGACCCGCCCCTCCTAGTGCTCCACCCTGCCCATGTCCCCACTGAACCAACAAGCTGCAGAGAGAGCAGGATGCCCACAGCAAGCCCCAAGGACAATGGCCACAGAGTTAGGACACCCAAATCCTAACCTAACCTTGCCTGTGCTTCCTTTGTACTGTGGCCATTTTACTTTCCCCCTGTTCCCTCCTCTGCTCCTCTGTAAATGAGGCCCTTGGACTGGATCAGTGGTTTTTACACTGAGCTCCCTGGAGCTCTGGGGGCCTCAGGGACTATTGTGGAGGCCCCGCTGCATTTAAGAGTGGTGTCTTGTACCCTACTCAATCCATTTTTTGTTTGTTTGTTTGTTTTACATATTGGGCCTCTGTGGAAGATTTTGCTTGAAGAAAAGGTTTTCTGGTCTAAAAAGTTTTAAAAATCACCGGATTAGATGATTTTTCATCTATTTTCTGATTGAGAAGTTTCATGGCTCTTATAGTAGAAGCAAGGAGGTGACCCCAAGCTTGAATTATAGAGGTAGCAGGAAGGACATTGCAGGCCAAGAGCGCTGTACAAACAGGCGCATGTTGTGGTTATGGAGTGGAGAAATCAGGTGTGTGCATGTTATGTGACCCTGCTGAATGGAAACTTGGGTGTGCATCGCAATGGCCTCAGAGGTCACTGAGGGTGGCCAGATGCCTGGGTGGAAAGGGCTGGTCCTGTTTTCCAGCTCCATTCCAGGCAGCATCCTCACTATCCAAAGAACGGCATAAGGGGACCCCTGTTTCCTGAGACCCACTCAGAGCTCCTATACTTTCCCACCTTGTTCCTCTGAGCTGAAAAATGACATCGGAGAGGGCAAGTCAAACTGTGCACATACCCACCAACTTTAGCTGTATTTTAACAACCTTCTGTTTCCCCCCAGTTTCTGAAAAGAAGAGTAGGTAAAATGGAAGAGTGATAAATAGTTTTGGTTGTCTCCAAAGGCAGCTTATTCTAAGAAATCAGCTGAGAAAAGGGGGCCTAGGAGGGACCCCATACTGTCATGTTTCCCCCCAGCCTATACCCAAGCAATGCTGCACTCACTGGGCATAGGTGACGCTGGAAGCAGCTGGGCCCAAACCTCAGGGGGCCAATAGAAAAATGCCCTTGAGAGGCTCAAGACACTGCTCCTAATCTCCCTGAGGAAATATCCCCCACATGGGGTGAGCCACTCTTGCTTAGTTGCAAAGACAGAGAAATTGAGGGAGTAGAGAGGCAGGCTGGCCTCATTCCATGTCCTTGAGGGCAAGGGGGGACTGGTCCTGGGGGACAGTGATAAGAGGTCAAGGCCACGTGAGGCCTGGAGATTCAGGATCTGTTTATCTGGAGACTAGAGGGCATTTGGGGTAGTGGAATGAGGCCTGGAGTCTCCCAAGTCGGATCTCATTGGTCAAGGCTGGGAGATCCTAACTTAAACTCTTAAGCAGAACCTACAGTCCTAAGTCTCATCTCCATCCTGCTCACCACACCATGGGGTAAAGTACTGTGGTACTCAGTAGATAATTCATTTATATAATGGTTGCTATACACACAATTTCAAGAAGATACCAGCCCTCCTTTTCGAGTCTCTGCTCCTGGTCTCCCCCCTGAGCCCAACCTCACTCCTGCTCATTTCCCTGCAGGGACTAGGTTGGAAGGAAGACAAGGCATTGCAGTCACGAGAGGAGGATTCAGTCTTGGTCCCTAGGGCGATAGTGATGAGCAGGAAGAAGGAAATGGCAACCAAGGAGACCTTCATGCTGTGGGAAGCTGTTGCAGGAGGAGAGCTGGCTTGATGGGGGCTTTTGAGGCTCCTGCGGTGAGGAATTGTTGAGAAATGATCATTGAGGCCAAATAGTTTTTAAAGTAAGGGAGCTGAGATTTGGAAGGGAAGTAGGAAAGCAGCGATGCCTCAGAGATTTCATATCCTGTACATTTGTTGACAGTGGTGTGAAGGAAGCAGAGAGCGCCCAGGCTTAAGGGAGGAAATGGTCTTCCATCCCCAGTGGGAAGAAGTTCAGCTCTGTTGATATAAGCCTTTCCCTAGGCATGAACGTGAGCACAGGGCTGGGGGCACTGTCTCCGACTTAGCAAAAGATCTCAAGGCTGGATGTGTCCTGGATCTAATTGCATCTCAGGCCTTAGAACAGGCCACGTGGAACCTGGAGACTCAGGATCTGTTCATCTAGAGACTAGAGGGTGTTTGGGGTAGTGGAATGAGGCCTGGACTCCTCCGAGTCTGGTCTCATTGGTCAAGACTGGGAAATGCTAACTTAAACTCGTAAGCAGAACCTGCAGTTCTTAGTCTCATCTCCACCCTGGTCACCACACCATGGGGTGCAGAAGTGCTGTGGTGCTCAGTAGATAATTCATTTACATAACAGTTGCTATACACACAAGCCACTGTCCCAGATGCTTTATGAATATTGGCCTATTTAACCTTTAGAATAGCAGTTGAAGAAACAGGCTCAGAATCAAAGCCTAAGCTTTGGACAATTGGTAAATGGAACTGGGGTTCAGTCTCAGGAGGTCTGGCTTCCAGGTCTGTATTTTTATCCATTATGCCATAAAGAAACATGAGACTCCCAACGGAGCTCTGCAAAAGCTTATGGGTTCTCTACAAAGCCTTTAGTCTTAGTCCTTTCTGAGATCAGATAGTGGATCTCTTTGGGACCTTCTGGTTTCTCTGACTTTCGCTACAGAGAAGCTTGGTGGGAACGTTAGAAAATGTCTAATTCAGGGATAGCTAGTAGATTTCATTGACTAGTAGGGGAATGGCACTGGAGCTCTGTGTTGGAAATAATTCTGAGGCCATGTCCAGGCACATTGGGAAGCTATGCTGTGACCGACGTGCAGTTTCTGTTGCAGTGCAGCTTGCATGCTATGTTTTTGCCATTTGATTCGTCTAAACTGGCCTTTTACTGAATGGAAGCTGGGAATCAAAAAGGGCCAGTAACTTGCTCACATTCACACAGTGATTTGGCTGCAGGACAAATCTCATCTCTGCAGGCTTTCAGCTTAGTGCCCTCGCCATGCTGTTCTTGGGGGCACATCCCCCATTCTGCTTGTTGATGTGGTTAGATGGCTATTTAATCTCCTCTCCTCATCTGAATCATCAGGGCGGAGAATATCTATTGTTTGCCTTTGCCCATTCACACAGAATCTAGTGCATACCAGGTGCTTATGAATACATATTTTAAAAGAAGGATGAATAAACACATTGAGCCAGGGCTACATATGTGCATCTTATAGGAAATGGCTGAAATCTCATGGTTAGTTGTGGAGACAGTCATTGATTAGAAATTTTCTATATTTCTTTTTTTTTTTTTTGAGACGGAGTCTCGCTCTGTTGCCCAGGCTGGAGTGCAGTGGCCAGATCTCAGCTCACACAAGCTCCGCCTCCCAGGTTTACGCCATTCTCCTGCCTCAGCCTCCCGAGTAGCTGGGACTACAGGCACCCGCCACCTCACCCGGCTAGTTTTTTGTATTTTTTAGTAGAGACGGGGTTTCACCGGGTTAGCCAGGATGGTCTCGATCTCCTGACCTCGTGATCCACCCACCTTGGCCTCCCAAAGTGCGGGGATTACAGGCTTGAGCCACCGCACCTGGCCAGAAATTTTCTATATTTCTTATCATCAATAACAACATTATGTAAACCCTTCAAGTTAAATGATAACAGTTGTTATTAGGAACAATCTCAGGAAGCAAGTTGTTTATGGGCAGAGTGAGTCGGAAAGAAATAATGCTTGCTTCTTGTTTTGTGGAGACTAGCCAACCTGCCATGCTGTTTCTAGGAGCCTTACAGGAAGTGTCTGTACTCTTCCAGCAAGTATTGAGTTCCTACCTACATTAGTCTGTATATGCCAACTGCTATTATAAACAATCCAGCAGACTAATTAAATAAAAGTTTATTTCTTGCTCATGTTACAGTCCAGTGTGGGTCAGTAGTGGGATGATGGCGTGTGTGTTGGGATCTTCCATGTACTCATTCAGGAACCAGGCCTGTTTCTATCTTGGATGCCACCGTTTTCAGCACAAGGCCTCCAAGCTTGATACAAAAAGGGAGAGGCAGAGGAGGATTGGGAGATTTTTGTGGATTAGTTCTGAAAATGGTACAAATTACTTTCACCCACATTCCATGGCCAGCATCAAGTAACCTGGCTCCACCATAATGACAAAGGGATGGAAAATATACATCATCTGTATGCCCAGGAGGAAAAAGGAATAGGTTTTGTGACCATATCACTTCTTTGACACAGTATCATATGCCAAGTCCTGGGCTATGCTTGGAGGCAGGGAATGAAGATGACCATGATCCCAGAAGTCTCAGAACTCAAAGAGGGACTAAAAAAAAGTAAAGGAGAATTGCAATACAACCAGATGAATGAAATTTGGTAGCAACATAATTAGAGACCTTAAATATCCTCCCGTTGCCCCCTGTTGAATATGAAGCCCCTATTTTAAAAATATTTAAAAATGTTTTTCAAAGCAACACATATATATATTGAGTTAAAAAACTGAATAGTACAGGAAGGATCTGTAGGACATAAACCTTCTGAGTTCATGCTTGTCTGAAGAGGTCATTATTTAGCCCTCATACTTGATTGATATTTTTATTGTGTATAGAATTCTACAATGTTATATAAAAACATGTTTCTTTTTTTTTTCTTTTTTTTTTTTTTTGAGACGGAATCTCGCTCTGTCGCCCAGGCTAGAGTGCAGTGGCACGATCTCGGCTCACTGCAAGCTCCACCTCCCAGGTTCACGCCATTCTCCTGCCTCAACCTCTTGAGTAGCTGGGACTACAGGCGCCTGCCACCATGCCTGGCTAATTTTTTTGTATTTTTAGTAGAGACGGGGTTTCACCGTGTTAGCCAGGATGGTCTCGATCTCCTGACCTCGTGATCTGCCCACCTCGGCCTCCCAAAGTGCTATGATTACAGGCTTGAGCCACTGTGCCTGGCCAAAAATATGTTTCTTCTGAAACTTTCATTTGTGGTGATCTGGTGTTTCCCCTTCCTAGAAAGTTCTAGGGTTTATTCTTTACTCTTGTTTTCTTACTTTTTGGCACAAATAGATGTTCCAGAATAATTTTGTACTTTCCTTGGCCCAGCTCTGGAATTAGCCATTTCTTCCATGAGTCTCAGTTTCTTTCACTAAAAAATGATTTTGAGAAACCAAAATCTGAGTGCTTGTTGTGTTCATTGCTATGAGAATGGCATCACTTTTAGGTCTGGGCTTTCAGTAGCTAGAACTTGGAAATATATGTAAGCATATATGTGTAAGTATGTACTTAAATTTATGTCTATTTCAAGTATATCTATTTCATATATTATTAGCAATTTCTTTTTTTTTTTTTTGAGATGGAGTCTCACTCTGTTTCCCAGGAGTGAAGTGGTGCAATCTCGGCTCACTGCAATCTCTGCCTCGGGGGTTCAAGTGATCCTCCTGCCTCACCCTCCCGAGTAGCCGGGACTACAGGTGCAGGTCACCACGCCCGAGTAATATTTGTAGTTTTAGAGATGGGGTTTCACTATGTTGGCCAGGCTGGTCTTGAACTCCTGACCTTAGGTGATCCACCAGCCTTGGCCTCCCGAAGTGCTGGGATTACAGGCGTGAGCCACTGCGTCCAGCCTATTATTAGCAATTTCTATATCCTCTTTCTAGCTACATGAATAAACAAAAGTTTATACCACTATGTCCAATTCCAAGTCAACGCCACAGAGTTATTTCAGTCTTTCCCGTTTCTGTGTTTCCCTCCCTTCTCTAACAATAGGGACTCCTGCTCCCATTAACTTCAATGTGTGTACTTATTTGCTGAGTTCCCTGTATGTAACAAATCTCCTGGCCACGCTGGCTGTATTCTGGCCTCTGGTCCCACTGGCCTCAACCATGTGCATCATCTTCTCTGCCCTGGCCCTGGTTGAGCCCTCAGTTGAGGGGATGAGTTATATTACTTTTAAATCTTGTCTCTGGTTCTAAAAAGAATAAAAATATGGATGTTTCTATTTCCTATTTTATGTCTTGATGATTTCTGTGAAGCTCTATTTAGATTTTTTTTTTTTTTCCTTTGAGATGGAGTTTTGCTTTGTTGCCCAGACTGGAGTGCAGTGGTATGATCTCGGCTCACCACAACCTCTGCCTTCCATGTTCAAGTGATTCTTCTGCCTCAGCCTCCCGAGTAGTTGGGATTATAGGCACCTGCCACCACACCTGGCTGGTTTTTGTATTTTAGTAGAGACGGGGTTTCACCTTATTGGCCAGGCTGGTCTTGAACTCCTGGCTTCCCAAAGTGCTAGGATTACAGGCATAAGCCACCATGCCCAGCCCTCTATTTAGATTTTTAAAATGACTTCTATGCACTTTTTTTTCTAACTATTTTGTACAATTTCCAATATTTTTCCTTTTTTTTCTTTTTTCTTTTTTTTTGTGACAGGGTCTCACTCTGTCACTCCAGGCTGGAGTACAGTGGTGTGATCTCGGCTCACTGCAGCCTCAACCTCCTGGGCTCAAGTGATCCTTCCACCTCAGCCTACCGAGTAACTGGGACTACAAGTGCACACCACCACACTTGGCTTATTTTTTCATTTTTACTAGAGAGGAGGTTTTTGCCATGTTGGCCAGGCTAGTCTCAAACTCCTGGCCTCAGGGGACCTGCCCACTTAGGCCTCCAAAGGTGCTGGGATTATAGGCATGAGCCACTGAGCCCAGCTCAAGATTTTTACCTTTAAAAATTCCAAATTGATTATCAGACTAGCC